CCTCCCCCCCCACCCTCCCCCTAACCTCCATCTGCGATAGTGGGCGTGTCCTAACAATGATGTGTACGCAACTGCGTGTCTGCATATCTGCGCCTAACAAATGTGGTACTACGCACGACTGAAATTTTACGTTTATAATCGTAGCAACAGACCTCAGATGAGCCCAGATGCTCTGCGGCTCTTGTTTTATACTAGTGATTGGGTACTCTGGTTTTTCACGAATGTATTGTACGCAATACATAATGTTGTAGGTTATATCTACAAATGTGCTGCATATATTTTGTAAATATAGTGATGACTAATCAATCGTAAATGCCAAAAAATGATCTGATCCTACCCAACAGGTCGTGCAAGCTAATAATTCGCTCATAGTGTCTATGTCCCCCAGGGTACTGCCGGAATTTACCGGGGGTACGGTCCGGTATACCAGAACGTACCCTGCATGATAACTATCTGATATGGTTAGGGAGTAGGCGTAGGCGACTCCCTAGACTCATTAGTGGAGTAGGCGAGATACGGTCCGACAGATAGTACCAGCTAGGGTACGTTCCGGCAGTACCCTGGGGGACATAGACCTTCTCAGCGCTAATAATTAACCAATGTCAGGTTTCACATAAGTGTTGTCTGTTTACATCACTTACGATATGAAGTTATCAAACTCATATATCTTCTTCTTTACAAATTTATTTATTGTATCCTACAGTACTGTCAACTGATTGTTGTTCTTGTATGTTATCACTGTATATACTGCACCTTTACTTTTATTTGCAAATTTATTTCAGCTTTTCCTCATTTGCAATACAGCGAATATCTGGCACTCCATATTATGTCTACTGTACATATAGAGGGATAGCTGACTTGATGACCCTATGCTATGGTCTTTCGCTACCCCTTCACCTTTCAAAATAATGTTTTCTGCATCATTGTATTTTTTGCAAATTATGGTGATAAAATAAATTATTTGAATTGAATTTTGAATTGAATTGTCTGTGATCCATATAATTAAAGTAGCCCGTTTATTTGTTGTTGCTCTAGCCTTTAGTGCACCACATTGCATAGCACTATAAGTCACTCTTTAGAGTACGTGATGACTACAGTACAGCGCATTAGCATTGTTGTAGGTTGTACTGAACGTTGACGATAATGAAATCTATCATGATGAAATCTGTTTAACTATAAGGTTTGTACCAAATTATTTTTATAGCTTCGCAATGATAAGGCATTTAAATAAAAATTGCTTTCATCTAAATACTATCGGTGAGAAAACGTGCCAAAAATTCGGGAAATGCTTATCCAACATTTATTTTATTGCCGTTGGTGACTACAGAGGGCGTAACGCAAGTAGGAATGGCGTAAGTTTATTTAGTACAGATTTTCAATTTGTAAATAACGATACAAATCGTGTATACATTGTGACCATGACCTCGTGTAACAGGAGGATTAATGAATAACAACAACAACACTCAATTTGAGTTGTTTACTAGTAACTCGTACTTGATGGTACAGTGGAACATTACCAGTCCTACTCCTAGTATTGACTATTGTCCATTGAGTATTGTATTGTTATTGATGCTAATTCAGTAATTGTAATTGTGTGTTACAAATGTTGCCCGACAAAGTATATGCCCATGGTTATTGTTTTATATTAATTATAAGGCCGTGTATCAAAGGTGTCTTTATTTATTTATTATGTGACAGTTTCGCATAATTTCCACTTTATTAGCTCATCTGACGAAGTCAGATGCAGCTTGTACTTGTAGCTGTAGTCTGTAGAATCGCATGATTGTCCGTCCGTACGTCCGTCCGTCCGTCAACAGTTGGGCACAAATCTTAACCGCTCGACGTACGGTCACGATATTCGGGACGTCAGGTGGGGGGGGGGTCGTGAAAAGGACTCGGGATGATCAATTTGGGGGTCAAGGGTCAAAGGTGAAGATGTGTAAACGGAGGGAATATTTCCCCCTTAACTTAAGGTATAGGAGGAAATACGGAATTGCGGCACAAATCTGAACGGCTCGACCTATGCTCGTAATGTTTGGTGTATAGTGTGATGGGCAGGAAACCCATCACCAGTGTGAAATTGGAGGTCACAGGTCAAAGCGCAGTGGGGAAAGGTCAGATATCAGACATTTTCTGAGGGCATGGCCTAACGGACAGAGTGAAAAACTTTTTTTGTTTCTCACTGACCTACCATTTTTATCACTTTATTGAAAGGACCATGAAATGTGCTTTCCACTGACGTTTGAAGAGTAAGTGTCTGATAACCTTTTGACCCTCAAGAGGAGGGTTAAACATGGGTTTGTTGACTGTTAACAAAGGACTGAACTGTGTTTGATGGTACTTGTGTGATTCTGGAAGACTTAAATTTCACAGTGAAATTCTGCATGCAAAACTTACTTGAACAACGTTTACGCGCCTTAAATCATATATGAACTTCATTCTCTATATGAGATACTGTATGTTGGGAATAGAATGTCAATAGCACTTATGCAAAAGTCTGTTTTTGATTAAGGCCAACTATAAATAGGCCTACCTCGCAGGTGCTTGAGGTGGGTGGCTGATAGCACAGCATGGGCTAAACGAAGGTCGCAACTAGTTCGGATTATCTATTCCCTGCACCTAGTCAGTATGCAAGCCATCTATCGGAACAGAGTGAGAAGAATGTCCCGGCAGGATAGGTCAAATATATATTGCGCTCAAAAGTGCAGAAAGAATTACTTTCTTACCTTCAGTTTAACCAATCTTGAGATAAGTAATTGCAGAAATGAATCGTCAAACCTACCAATGAAAATTTGCCAGTTTTGTACTGTCCTTGGCATGGCTCTCTCCGTCGACGTACAGTAGTGTGCAATGTCGGGATATGGTGGAGCATACGCTGCTCGCTGAAGCTTCAGAGCCCGATGCGTTGAACTGTCAGTCGAACATGTGTTTGATCCTGCCCTGCATTGAAGAAATCTGTACGTTATACGTGCGTCTGCCTTACCTCTGCCCGCCATCTTCGTCGAAAGTTTGGACGCCGCGCAGCGAAATCGGAATGTACATTTCAATTGATGACGTAACTGATACAGTAGCCCGCCGCGTGGGTGTTATTTGTTTATAAACAATTTAGTCTGACTCTCTCCCTATCTCTCCTCTCACCTGTTCTCTCTCTCTCTCTCTCTCTCTCTCTCTCTCTCTCTCTCTTTCTTTTCTCTTTCGCTCTCTCTCTCTCTCTTCATCTCTCTCGCTCTCTCTCTCTGCAATAAAAAAAATGTTTGCTGAAATGATGTGTACGCAACTGCGTATCTGCATATCTGCGCCTAACAAATGTGGTACTACGCACGACTTAAATGTTACGTTCATAACCGTAGCAACAGACCTCAGATGAGCCCAGACGCTCTGCGGCTCTTGTTAATATTATTGTTACTTGAATAACTTGTTTAACAGTTTATCTCGTAACATGATTCGGAATAATACAATAATAATATCTGATTTTACATCACACGTGACTAAATACAAATAAAATTATTTTGTAATTTTGTTCATCAATTATCGTTGTTTGGCCTGGCTAAATATTAAATAAATTACTTCACAAGTTCACAGTTCACTGACTGAGTGCTCTGCGACTAACGTCTGCTAAAAATAGTACAAGTCTATTAATATATCAACTAGTTACTAGAATTGTTGAAATGTTTGGTCTCCTTTACCTTCTACAAATAATATGTATTCTGCATTTACACTGTATACATGTTTAATCTCCTGTTTCTAGGTAAAACATACGGATAAGAAAATTCAGTTATTTATACCTACAGGTATACATTGGAGAGACTATCAAGTTATTGACATGGTGCAAGATGAAATGAGGGATTACATACTGCGATGAAAACATAGTAGGTGTAGTGATTCTAATATAATGCTATGAAGACGAGAAAAAAGCCACCACCGCCAGAAAAATCACACAGTGAGAAGTGTGCAGCTACTCGACACTCTCCAAAAAAACTTTCTTATTCAAGAAAAAGGGTTAGCCCTTCTCATGCTGTGAAAAAAAAATTACCTAGTGTTGCTCATGACTCGACATATAAACTAACTCGTGCTTCTCCAGCAAAGGAGCACAAAGTGACGACAATCAGAAAAAGGGTAACAGATGTCAGACCAACGTGTTCCACGTCATCATCCTTGGAACGAGAAGATTTCCCAGATGGCGCTGCTGATGATACGGTAGTCTCCTGCCTGACATCTGATAGTGAGAAATGCCATCTGGAGGAACTTAACCAGAATCTCAAGTTTATGAATACAGAAGGAAGCCCTATGTTATCGGAGCTGCATGGTCCATTGAACCAGATGCCTACTGAGGAAAAATCCCCCACAAAGAAAACTACAAGGAAGAAAGGGAGCACTATTCCAGTTGGGCCAAAGTCATCACGGACAACCAGTAAGGCATCACTGCGAGCCAAAGCTACAATGATTGTGGAGAGCCAACCTAAACGTAATGCTCGTAAACGCATAAGATACAGTCCTGAAAGGAAGAGCAAGCGACAGAAAATTGGGTGCAGCACAGATAGCAAGAGCAATGTCAAAATAGCAGAAATGCCTTCTAAGAAAGATGGAGAAGAAGACTACTTAAATATTGACCGACTCTTGGAGCAGCATGCAGCCAAGAGTAATCTGTCGGTGATCAATGTGAAAAGCATACTGCACGTGAGTGATGCATAACTATTTCAAAGCAATTAGAACATCTCTTAAAAGCTTATGTTCTCGGAAACATATTAGATCTAATAATATATATATATATATATATATATATTTATATGTATATGCATTTATGAAAATTGGTAGAATAGTCAGTTAACATCAAACGTCAGTTTAATATCTGCTAATATGATTTGCTTTGGTTGTATTTTAAATTCGATATTAACCCATGTTAATCATGACTTTATTACAGCATGTAATCACGAATGAACATGTGCTGGCAATGGTTCAAAACACAATGGGAGAATCAGAGACTGTAGATGAAGCCCTGTGTATTCCTAAACTGACCAGGTCAAAGGTCCGAGAGGTGAAGCAGAAAGGGCAGGTGGGCACAGCACAAATTACTCTGTAAATTAGCAGTTCCATATGGCCTTGACTATGTCGTCACCCGTAATTTTGCTACTCAAAATGACAAATATTGCTATTTAATTTTATTCGAGTTTAAATAAGCAATGCTTCTAAAAAGTTTATTTGCATCGATGGTAGGTGATGAAAAGTTGTATGTACATGCATGTGTGTGTGTGTGTGCATGAATTTATTGTACAACGAATTGCGTTGTGCAGAACATCTGTGCATGCCATGTAATATTCTTCAATATCTCTATCATAACCTATCCTAGCCTATCCTATACTGTAGCTAGTAAGCAATAAATATGGTTTTAATATGTCATAATGTATTGATTGATTAGTTACTTTTTATCATAAATTTTTGTGGGATTCACAGGTTTTGTGGATCTTTTGTATTGAATGTATTGTATACGCATGCGTATGTGCCGATATTCTACCTATTCGTTCACTATAGCTTTCAGTTCCCTGGCCAGTGTCACCTATGAAGAAGAGGTCTAACCCAAAGATTTTAGAGGCAGAGTTTTCGGAGACAGAAGATGAGGAATACAACCCAGAAGCTGATCCAGAGGTAATGACCTCCTCCCACACACATGCTGCGCTATCATATACAGGCACACTTCAGACACCCAAATATAGACTCGGTGCATCATCATGAAGATATATGTGCCAATGGTACTGTGAGAACCCACTTGGGTGATTGCTGTGATGCTTCTAATCCTAAGCAATCATCTTGCAGGCAATTGAGAGCGATGAAGAGAGCTGGTTGTCCCACCCTAGTGAGTTAGGGTCACCAGCAACCTCCTGTGGGCCATTCACCCCACAGACTCCCACACCCTTGTCGTCTACTCCTCTGAAGGAGCCTGATGACAATCATGGAGATTCAGAGCCTACCAGGCAGACAGCTAAGCACATAGTGGTATGTGCCTCAGTTATGCGCAGTCGCAGTGTCTCTCTGCATTGTTTTCCATATGATGTAGTTTACCCGACGATATAAGCAGCTGGCATAAATAATATAATTGTAAAACCTATGAAGATTCATCATTAAACCTGACATGCAGTTCTTTCATTGTGTAAACTCCAGCTAACATTGTCTTGTGTTATGACTAATAAAGCTGTCTTGGGAGTATCCAGCCTACGTGATGTGTGTGCACATGTAAATTCCGAATGCGATATAATAAATAAGTGCTGCATCTAAGTTCACACCAATCTAGTGCTACGAGTGTAGCTGCTAACTAGCGTACAGTTGACAGTGGAGGCGTGGTGAGCCTGCAACGTTTTATGTGTCACGTATTCCCCCAGGCTATGCCGGTTCCAATGGGACCTCCGCTGTACAAACCGCCCGCTGTGCCATCGACCTCGCAGGCAACTGATGCAGATGCTGAGCTAATAGCCTGCAGAACACGCTCCAAGCTCCCTCTGGTGGACACTCCGCTGGAGGAGATCGAGGCCAACTTTATGTTTCCAGATCTGTTCCCAGATTTGCATGACGAGACAGAGGCTCAAGACCCAGAGTGGCTCGACTGGCTGGCAGGCCTGTACAGCACCTCCTGTAAGTCGTCTCGCAGGAAGGAAGTGAGAAATAAATCTGTAATGTGTGCATCGCGGTAGGCACACGCATTACGCTTATTGTTTGCATTCATAGCGCTTTGATTTGAGTTGTGAATGTTTGCATATTAAGTTACTTTAACCACCGTCAACCGATAACATTTATTCGCCAAGTTATCACGTCAACTGATTTCCTTGCATTTTTGTGGTGCATCTTTCCATTATGAAACAAATCATTACTGCTGGTTTATTTTCCAGTGGAAAAAAACGATCATAATGAAAGTGTAGATGAAGAAGCCAATGACCCGGAGTATAATTTCCTCGAAGACAAGGAGGAGGTGGATAAGGAGGACTTCCGGGATGATAAGGCCGTCAGAGTGACAAGTAAGAACTTGAGTTTGAATATTATCCCTCTGTATAAACTTTAGTTCCCATGAAGCTCTTTTGCAAAACAGACAAAATGTGAGATTTCCTTGTTTTCCAAAACCACTCGCGTTTTGCCGTATCTGCATGACCATCACACTGACTTACCTTTATATTCTTTAAATAGGAAAAATACGAGAAAACAAAATGTTAGCGCAGCTACACAAAGCACTTACTATCATTAAAAAGGTCATAACATGTTTAAGGTCACAGTGGACTCTGACCCTAGCAAAAACTGTTAACTGTTTAAACAGTTTTAGTTCAGATGCAGGATGGCTGGTGGCAGCTGAATAACAATGCTTGGCTTACATCTATATTCTTAGTCAGTCATAAACTGTTTGTTGCATGTGCAGAGAAGGAACTGAATGAACTCATGCAAGAACTTGCTGACATTCTTGAGGAAGATGACACATCAGAGTACATCATTCCACTGGCAAATGCCACACCATCTCTGCCAACAAGGTGCGTAAGATGGGATTGCCTGAGTGCTATTTAATAAAATGTACAACTAGTGTGATGGATCTATGTAATCATGCAGCACGTACACAACACAACCTGTTCAAGTAGGTTTTTTTAAATAATTTTGTTAGTGTTTTAGTTGATGGTCATTAAATGCAAAGTACTGACCACATTGTTACTTTTCTAAAGGAATTTTGAGATAAATAAACCTTTTACCTATGTTTGGTAGCACTGTTGAGCTGAAGTCGGAGTGGGAAGAATGGCAAAGCAAGGAAGGTCACCACCACCAGCTGCAACAGCAACAACAACAACAGCAGCAGCAGCAACAGGAGCAGAGTGAACTATGTGTCATGGAGGAACACCTCAAAACTGAGGAATTTCCATTTAATGATGACTTGAGAAGAAAGCTAGCTGACCAGATGCGAAAGGTATTGGTGACATCGTGGATTTCTGCATGTGGGGATTGTTTATCACTGCAGGATTCAATAGGATTGACAAAAATCGTCATCGCAGTCACGTAGTTTAACATTGTACCTCAAAAGATGCGTGTTATGAATGGATAAGATAAATTTCAGTCAAAATGTCAAAGTTACAAACATATATCATTTGTGATATATTGAAAAGCCGTCTAAGCAGCTGATACCAGACCGCAAACCAGACTGCGGTGAAATCAATACAACTAGGACTTATTGTTCTACGTGTGCTGCTACCTATGTGGTCTGTTAATGCACCAGTGCTCTCTGCCTCTACAGCATGTACAGTTGTCCACACAGACGTTTCTGTTGACCAATGAATGTGAGGGAATGAGTGAGGAAGCTCTCCTTTGCAAGCAATTCCTGGTAAGTTGGGTTTTGTTACTCAGTATAAACCTATAAGAACATTCTTTATTCATAAACCCGTCGAATAAACACTAGGCTCTATTCATTTAACCATTTAACCAAATGTACAAAATACATTCAATTTATTTAATTTCAATCAATTCATTTCATTTCAATTCAGTTAATTTGTTTTTGAAACAAATTCAAAAAATGTTTGCTATCATCTATGGTGGCATTTGTTTTTATGATATCTCGGTTATGTGGATATCATAGGTTATCATCATATATATATATAATATATATATATATATATATATCATATAGCATGTCATAGGTGGTTAACTTTGTCCACACGCAGTATGGCTCTGGTATAGGTTTTATTTTTATTCCGTATGACTTAGTCCATGTGAATATCTTTTGAATTAACGATTTGAAATTGATTTGAAGATTATTTTTGCTTTTGTCACAGCATGAGCTTGGTAAATATGCGAGCATGTCACTAAGTCAAGGAAAATCCGCATTCAATACATGCAACCTGAATGAGGGATTGGCCATAGTGGACAATGCCAATATCAATCATATAGCAGACGAATCCCCAGGGAAACAGAAAAAGCGAGTGAGAAAGGGTGAGTAGGAGTCATTTGCACATATATTTTACTGACCCAGTCACAGAGTCACATGTTCTGTCTTTAATGGCACATTTATATTCACATTGACATTGTAGCTGTTTTTGATTATGGGTGCGAATTAACATAGTATATATACAATAAACGTTCAAGCACACCGTGTGGGTATGTTGCTGCGATCGTGTCATTTCAGACTTTTCGGATATTACCACTAAGTGCTACTTTTGGGAGAATCTACTTTTGTTTACTGATTCTCAAAATCGCCTCCATTATGTAATACAGTAGTTAGTGTTGATAGCATGGTGTAGTAAGGGGTCGTTCACAATTATCAACATTTTCACAAGCGTACAAAGCGTACACTTTTTCGAGACCCCCACCTTCCCCCTAAAAGTGTACAAAGAAAATTGTTGATTTTTTTCACACTATTCTACATAGAGATACATGTATATGAATTACATGCAAAACCGCCATCGTGCCGGTTGTTTACACTGCACTCGGCTGCTAGCTAGCTAGCTCGGTTGGTTCGTTCAGCGGGCCCGTGCGGGGCGTGGGCTGGCCGGGGCTCGGCGCGTCGCGGCATGAGGATGCGCACGATGCCAGCTGGGGCGTGCGGTGCGGGAAATGGATCGACATTTTTCGGAAATGCTGAAAGTGTATGGCGGGCATTGACCCCCCTCCCCAGTGTACGGTTTGTACGCTTGTGAAAATGTTGATAATTGTGAACGACACCTAATATATACAACTCTGATTTGACCCCAGTCTTGGTGCTAGCAAGTTAAAGCTGCACAATGCGCATCCAAACGCTAATTTCTCCAGTACTAGACTAGCAAATACTTCGTGTCATGCATAATCACACTACCTTATGACAAAATAAACTCTAGTTCCTCCCATTTCACTGCGCGTTGTCTTATAAAAGATATTTAAAAATACCTCCAATGTTGTTCAAATTCTCCGATGTTGTTGACAGTTCTCCAATCTCCAAGCAACCGTGCAGCGGTGCTGCGGTATGTACAGCGGTACGGGTGTAGCAAAGATAAAAACACATGACGTCACCCTAACCACTTCGAGGCTAAATTGTTTGGCAAACAGGCCGGCGTTAGCGCCAGAATGCCAGTTTTCTCACCTCTTTCTTGTGGGTTTTAAGCAAACGCGCAGTGAAATGGGAGCAACTAGAGTTTATTTTGTCATAAGGTAGTGTGATTATGCATGACACGAAGTATTTGCTAGTCTAGTACTGGAGAAATTAGCGTTTGGATGCACATTGTGCGGCTTTAAATGCTATAAATCTTGATAACAATATAACACTGCACTTTCTAAATTCACCGAATTACTCAATAATGTGGAAATGTTGAGTATTTCAGTGATCTGAATTGGAACTACATTACCAACCTTTGAGAAATAGAAACCAGTTATAAGAAATCACATTACTAATGCTATCCTGTACTATTCATTTCTGCCATATAGTCGACCTTTTTCGAAAAACCGTATAATGCAATTTGCAAAATCATTGTAGGAACACAACCTCATAGTTCGCTTGTACATTCATTGTATGAATGTGTCCATGCTATCATCAAGACATCTACATTTTGCTGTAGTTCATGCTGAGCATGCGAAGGCAAGGCGGATGATTGAGTACTGATTGTGAGCTTAGATTGTAAACTAAGCTTGAGAATAATATTAATTCTAATAAATCCAATATTTAGTTTTACAGCGGTGTGTTTTCACATCATACATCTCGCCTAGTAGCATGCTATTCATGTCATACATCTCACCTAGAGGCGTGTTATTCATGTCATACATCTCACCTAGAGGCGTGTTATTCACGTCATACATCTCACATAGAGGCGTGCTATTCACGTCATACATCTCACCTAGAGGCGTGTTATTCACGTCATACATCTCACCTAGAGGCGTGCTATTCACATCATACATCTCACCTAGAGGCGTGTTATTCACGTCATACATCTCACATAGAGGCGTGCTATTCACGTCATAATCTCACATAGAGGCGTGTTATTCACGTCATACATCTCACCTAGAGGCATGTTATTCACGTCATACATCTCACCTAGAGGCATGTTATTCACGTCATACATCTCACCTAGAGGCGTGTTATTCACATGTCCCTTTTTTCAGTCTTCCCTGAACTCAAGCCCCACACGGTGCTGACACTGGCTGAGAGTCGAGCCTTCATCTACCCTGAGATGCTGCCAGCACACGGCCTGCTGCCAAAGCAACCGCCGAAGGAGCACGAGAAGCCAGTTTTCATAGAAGCAGAAGACAAGTGAGTGGTGGCTCCATCAGTTGAGAAGTTATTTTATTGTACATTAATATTATTATTATTAGTGTTATTATTATATACCTTATTATATGTCTTACCTCATCTGTGTGCACACCTCATCAGAATGATAGAATTTTCTAGTTTAACTGTACATCTTGTGCACACATTTTATATTCCAAATAAATTTGACAAAATAAAATGTGTTGTTACATGACAGCTTGATAGCCATGGGTATAGCTCAGTTCCCAAGGACTGATCCTCAGTATGCGAGGCTTATCAGACAGCATATGGTGCCGACAAAGACTGAGCAGCAGATACGGCTTCGCATTAAGAATTTGACAGTTGCAAAAGCGACCAATAACTCGATCAAGGTATGAAACTGTAAATTTGAAGCATGTGTTTATATTATGCACGTACATATGTATGTGTGTATGTATACATGTATGTATGCATGCATGCATGCATGTATGTATGTATCTCTCTATCTATCTTATCTATCTTAGTTCTCACATGCACACACACACACAGGTACACACGCATGCACACACACACACGCACATGTGGTCATTTGTGTCTGATATTTTATTTGCTAGTTTATCTCTGTACAACTGAAAAGCATTCCCCCCCACCCCACATACAGAAATATTAACATCGTGGTGTTAACATGTGTCTAGGTATTGAATTGTGTTCAGAGTGTAATTGCAATTTACTGATCATCCATTTATTTTTTTGATTAATAGTACTTTAAGGACCATGGCAAAGTTCCGGACTTCAACTTCTCGCCTCCATTGTTCGATCCAGCGCTAGTGGTGCCACCTGCCGCAAACATGATTAAGCCTGTGTGGTACATGGTGAGTGCTAAATACCAGGTTTTTCCCATCGGCCTAACATAGATAATAATAACAATGTAACCAGTCAACATATGGGCAGATGAGTTCCAAAAGTGTTTGTGTGGCACACTACCTTAACTGTTTTATGCATCTCATATGTGCATTACTCGCGTTTTAGTGGATTGTGAGGCCTACACGCACACACATACGTGTGAACACATGACTGTATAATCGTGTTCACTAGTTAAAGTGTACCTCAATTTAGGCTCAACACAAGAACTGCGTAGGATCTCAGAGCTGTTTCGTATTATCCATTGCAGAAATATCTGTCGTACCGCAATGACGCCGCTCACAGTGCGTTCTCACTGCCAAAACCAACACAGCTCATGGCCGACTTTCCGACGATTATCTTCCTCACTGGAAACGAGCTTCTGGGCGTGCCCGCCATCACACAGCCGTCGGTGACCATGCTCAGTTTGAGTGCCGGCGTTGGCAGTACTGTAACGACTTCGCCAGCGTACGTGCAGGATACTAAGCAGCTACCTTTGCAGCAGACTGCACCAGTAGGTCGTCCCCAACCAGTGAATGCTAAGAGTGTAGTGCTGTTGTCCCCGGCAACGGCCTTGGTCGGATCGCCATGTACGACCACCTCCCCGTTGCCATCTGATGGTGTCGTCAAGACCGCAGTCGTCATGGCAACCCCCGTAATTCTATCGACGCCCGCAGCCTACGTGTCAACCTCAATCCGGACATCTACGATGCCGATTCATGTTGCCACGGTCACCGCCTCATCCCAGCTTCCAGCGTGGAGCGGGTCGGCACTGGTGCGTGAAAACGTGAGGGGAGTGGACGGAGCGTCGGCGGTTGGGGTGTGCACCACAACATGGTGCACACCAATCCTTCCAGCGCAGTCACGTGGATTCTCTCCTGTAAATGTTCCCGGAGATGACAACCAGGAACAAGCGCAGGGCATTGCTATATCTGTGGCAGATCCAACAGAGACTGCATCTGCTTCGCTGGCCACGTCAAGTGTGTTGTCATCACAGTCTGTGACGGTGGCGCCATCGATTTTGCCATTAGTAACCTCCGTGGTGCCGGTGTCAGAACAGCCATCTCTACCCTCAGTGCTGCCAGATACCTCATCGGTGTCACCATCACCAGCTTCAGCATCTCCGGCAGAACTGGTGCCGGCAGTGTTGGTGCCGCCCACATTGTCGAAGTCGTCATTGTCATCATCACTGTCACCACCACCATCGTCAGCGTCACCATTTTCAGTATCGTCTTCATCGGCATCAGTGCCAGTGTCGATGTCGCTGTCGCAACCATCCACATTGGTGGTGACGTCGTCTAGGTCAGAGTTATCATTGCCAGCGATGCCAGCACATTCGTCAGCGTTGGTTCCAACATCATCAGTGTCACCATCACAGGTGTCACCGTCGCTGACACAACCGGTGTCAATGTCACCGTCATCACGGTCCCCGTCACCACTACCGGTGGATCCATTCCTAGGGTCACTATCGCGATCATCCGAATTATCGTCGTCGTCGTCATTAATGTCCGTTCGCAGTCCAGCAGACGTTTGTGTGATGTCACCAATCTCGATCACGGCAAAGTCCAAGAAAGGCCGACACATAGTCGTTAGAAATATTGGTGTCGTGTCGAGCAAACGTAGCCCAAGGAAGAGTCTCGCAAAGAAGAACATGGAGCTGAGGCAGGCGGCTTCCTCGTCAAGAACGTTCGGCATCCTCCCAGCAACACATGACAGTTGTGAGCCAATGCCACGTGGCATCAGCGTGTCAGACCCACGTAGCAGCAGTTCCTCTGTGCCATTAACGACGGACGTGCCAGTGCCACCAAGTGCAATTGTGGCACGGTCATCTACTGCAATTGTGCCAGTTCCAGCAAGTGCAATTGTGGCACGGTCATCCACTGCAATTGTGCCAGTTCCAAACTGCAATTGTGCCAGTTCCAGCAAGTGCAATTGTGGCACGGTCATCCACTGCAATTGTGCCAGTTCCACCAGGTGCAATTGTGGCACGGTCATCCACTGCAGTTGTGGCCCGGTCATTCACCACAATTGTGCCAGTTCCAGCAAGTGCAATTGTGCCATTTCCAACGAGTGCAATTGTGGCACGGTCATCCACTGCAATTGTGTCAGTTCCAGCAACCCCAATTGTGACATTTCCATCAAGTGCAATTGTGCCAGTTCCAGCGAGCCCAATTGTGACAGTTCCATCAAGTGAAATTGTGCTAGTTCCAGCAAGCCCAATTGTGCCAGTTCCATCAAGTGCAATTGTGTTAGTTCCTGCGAGCCCAATTGTGCCAGTTTCATCAAGTGCAATTGTGCCAGTTCCAGCAAGTACAATTGTGCCACTTCCAGCAAGTACAATTGTGAAAGTCCCAGCAAGTACTACTGAAGGAGCACTGATACGAACACAGCATGTCCAGTTTCAACCTGATGCCGTAACGGTCATAGCTTCAACGGCATGCAGCAGCAGCTCTGATGACAGCAGCAGTAAACACACATTGCCTATGCTGGAACGTAGCAGCCGTGATGGAGTAGTGACCCATTCAGCAGCCTCTGGTCGTGCAGCAGTAGACGAGTTGGGCGTAAACAAACATTCCACCAGAATCCGGACGTCCGTTTTGCGTCACGGTTCTCGAGCCGATGACTGTACGATAGCTGCCGCTGCAATGACCATGACTCGATCCGGTCCCGTGAGTGAGGCGTCGATGCCTTCCCCTACCTCTGGTGTTAGACCCTGCGTCGTGTCGCCACCGCCGCATTGCACGATCACCACCCACGTCCCTCTCCCTGGTGGAGAGGTGCTGCTGATGCACAGCAGCCCTACAAAGCAGTCACACAGGGGTATGCCTCCGTGTCAGGACCACGATACGACCACGTTGCCTCGCACAGCAGGTGGCGACTCCGTGGCGAGTTACTCCATGTGTGGCTGGAGCCCACATAGCACTGCAGCTAAGGACTCAGGTGAGATTGTTATTAGACAATCGTGTAGTTATCAACGTGCATTTGCAGTAAACGGTTGCAATTAGACGACATTTTAGTTCAAGTTGGCTATTTCTTTGTAGTGCATGTGGATGTATGTGTGCTGGTGGATGTATTACTTGGAATAGAAGGAGGGGGATTGGAATGGGGTCTGTTGTGAATTTACGATTTATTTTACTGCATTCACAGTTGCGAGTATAGACAGCGGTCATCTTCCACATGAAGAGCCACCAGCAGGGTTGGTGGCTGTGCCGATTGTGCAGGAGATTGTCACGACTGACGTTCCTAGGAGATATGTTGATATTCAACCACTAGATGGCGCCAACCTGACTGCATCTGCTTCTGTACAGCCCAGCACAAGTTGTCAGTCATCGTCGACGGCCTCGAATCTCGTCACCGCGACAGGCACGAGCAAACAACCACTTGGCGAGGATGCTGGAGCGCCATCTGGTGGCACTTCGATTGCTGCCGGGCATCCGGGCGACGGCGAAGAGTTTGACAGAGGGGTTGGGGAGGAAGGACCACTGCGAAGTGTGCTATTGCCGCGAGATTCTCCCGGCCGCCCCGACCATGTTCCGCTGATGGTGTCTGCTCTGGAGACGACGCCAGACAAGTCATCGTCAGCATCCCCTGTGGCATCGTGCAGCATGCTGATCGAGTTATCATCAGCAGCGCCCCCTTTTCTGTCACTAAACACGCCCAAGAAGTCATCGTCAATAACCCCTGTTGTGTCGCCAGGCACACCAAACAAGTTGTCATCAGCGCCCCTTATGGCATCGCTAAGCACGCCGGATAAGTCATCAGCGCCCTCTATGGCATCCCTGAATACTCCGGATAAGTCATCAGAACCCCCTATGGCATCGCTAACCACGCCGGATAAGTCATTCAGGCGTCCCTCTAATGGCATCCCCTGAATACTCGGATAAAGTCATGGCAAAGAACCCACTAGTGGCATCCGCTAAAACCACGCCTGTGGATAAGTCATCCGCAGGTCCCCTATGGCATCTGGCTGAATACCGCCGAATAAAGTCTTCCGTGCGCACCTGTGGCATTTGTGAAAGCATGCCGATATAAGTCTTGCGCTCCCCTATGGCATCCGCTGAAGTTACCGCGCCGAATAAGTCTTTAGCGCCCCCTATGGCAGCGCTGAGCACGCCGGAGAAACTGCTGCCAACGGTGATGATGCAGCTGCAGAGTCTGTCGCGTGGCACGCTGTCGCCGCACAAGTCCTATGTGTTCTTTACGCCGAAGAAATACAAGCACATCTCACCGAAGAGAGGCCACGTATCTGCGCGCGCCGGCACGCCATCCCGATCAAGCTGTCGCCGCTGAAGCGAAGGTCACCGAAAGAAGAGAGTGGAGAGGACAGAGGAGCGATGGCGTCATCGCGGCTTCTCCTGCCCAAGGTCAAGAACTTCATCTACATCTCGCCCGTGAAGAAGGCCGTGCAGATTCTAAACAAGAGAGCAGCTGGCCGTCCGCCGGGGAAGAGGGCGCTGTTACCGCAGCTGAACCGCAGCGGAGCTGGGAGCGAGGGCGAAGGAATGGGCGAGGAAGAAGTCAGGAAGGAGAAAGAGAGCCAGGAGCCGCCGTCTGTGGCGCTGGTATTCAGCGAGAGGTTTGAGGAGGAGCGGGAAGCTGTGGGTGAGTACCGTGAAGCACTCGGCAGGTAAGCCTGTGGGAGGTGGTAGCACCATAACTATAACAAGCACTCCTGATATCTATACTGTCCTTGTAGAAGCTGTTAAATGTATATTAGCATATCTGAGGTATATCGATTGGTAGGAGTTTGTACATTACACTAACTGACTAATTGACTGCTGACAATGTTTTAAAAATAACTTCTCTGTCTCTGATGTTTGCCCAATGAAATAGCCGTGCATGTATGTTATCGATCAAGATCAAGAATTCATTAATATTCTACCGTTATCTACCTCCAGACGATCTATCTTGAAAGAGTCGCTCTTATTGATATTTAATCTGAAATTTGTAGCCACGTTTTCTAGCAGAAATAGCACTTCTATGGCAGAGTCATTATGAATAGAATCAAAATAATTGATCACGTGTAAGTCACCAAAGCTTCTTTTCTTGCAGCTGTGGAAGAGAAGGGCAACAAAACGGACATCATGTCTCAGTTGATGGTGGCTAGTACTACAATCCAGTATGGCCAGAAGTCGGGAGCACCTGCCAAGAGAGAGAAGAAGACGAAGAAACAGCTGGAACAGGAAAGCACCCTATCCCTGATAACACCTGGCCTTGTGGAGAACGACCCTCAGGTGGGGATAATTTCCTTGTCGTTTTAATGCTGAGGCAGGATGCATAGTTTCATGCTGTTTGTAGTTTACCATGCCTCGTTTTTAATGTGCTTTAACTTACTCCCGACGTGCGATATTAGATAGCATCACTATCACGTCTAACCTTCTTCTTCCCTTTCTTCTTCCTCTTCTTCTTCTCCTTTGTCGCCGTTGATTCATTTTTATTTTAACCATGTTGTTACGTTACTGTGGCAGCGTGAGGACAGGGACACTGTGCTAGCTAGGAGCTACCTGAACAAGCTGCGGGCAGAGCTGGCCGACCATGAAGAGGTGTACATGGAGGTGCTGAGGCTACTGTACGAGTTTGGACAGCAGAATGCCGAGGAAAGAGACCCTGTACAGGTGTGTCACACAGTTTGCCACCATCGTCATTACAACAATTAGTAATAATAATATAAGTAAGAAGGAGAGCCCATATCTAATAGGAAATAATGGTGCATTGGTGTTGGCATCGGCCAGTGATGGTGATGACGGCTGTGGCGGTGGTAGTGGTTGCAGAAAAGTAAGGCAATCTCGTTGATTCTTCCCCTGATCTGTCATGGAAGCACAGAACGAAACTTAATGCACAGAAATAGCATATGTTGCCACTTGCAGTGAAGTTACATGCTAAGCTACCATTGCAGTTATTCGACCATCTGGCTGAGACACTGCGCGGTTGGCCTGAGCTGCTGCTGGGTTTTGTAGACTTTCTCTACCCTTACCAAGCGCTAAAGTGTGGTCTGCTGGAAACAAAGATGGAATACGAACGTGCAAGACTCTTTCTGCGGAAATTGGAGGCACGTGTCTAGTATCTTTACATGATATCAGTTTAAAGTGATTATGTCACCGTAAATAATAAAAGTAAAAAAAATAATCCCACTTTTTCACAAAATGTAAATAATTCTGTTCACTTTTTATGGTTAAATTGCTGCATTATACTTCCTATTTTACTATATTGTTCGATGTAAACATACACTCGTGACTCATACATAGCCGGCCATAGCAAGCAATTAATGTCAGGATCATAATATCAAATCGTCCAGGTTTTTTGGATTTTTAACTAGTTGAGAAACAATCTTATCAGGTAAGAATTTGACGATACGTTTAGCCCCGTTAGTACTTACTTTTAATGTAAAAAAATGGCAACAAAAATTTCACAAATATACGCACAGAAAATTTGTGGCATAGTCAGTTTAAAGCATAATATGTGTTATATCTTATCGTACACGTGATAGGATGAATTAAATTAGTGGAAATGGAAATATTTATGGTTATATTTTGTATACATTTTATTTTGATGATTTTTCTTTTAAATCGTTGACTTCTGTTTTTATTTCGTGCGATAAAAGTTATGAAGGTGTTTTAACCATTTAAACCATCCACTTTGTAAAAACTTTAATATTTACAATGCTTATATCGTTGCTCCTGGCTCAGGTGTATTTCCGCAGGCTCCCAGCTCACTTTCAGAAGGCATTGCGCGTGATGGCACAGTACCAGGACAAGCTGATCACAAGATGGCGCGACCTGCGCGATACATTGCGCCCTCTCCTGAAGGGACACTCGCATCTGCTGGAGGAGTTCTCAATGTTTTTTCCTGAGGAGAGACCTACAGCGAGGTAGGTATTTTGAGCAGGCAGTCGGTGATAGCACTAACCAAATTCCACTAACGTCTAACGTGCCAACGTCTCTGCCGCATAATGTTAACATTCGTTAGCAGTAGTCCATATCACCACAGACGACAGAGTAATACAGGCCTGCTGTTAGCTGGGTGACATGCACTGGTGTCGAATGACAATGCTTTATTGCCCTGCGCAAACATTGGTTAGTACTGTACAAACAATGTAAACACTGATTAGTCGTCCACATCAGCACCGAGTGACGTCTCCCGCGTGGTTGCCGTTACAGCATGTTGACGGGGTATGAGGAGATCGAGCTGGGAGATGGCGATGAGGATGCGCGCAGCGGCATCGCTGCCGATGGCTACGAGGAGATACGAAACCCAGACCTCGGCGACGACTACGGCGGCAAGAAGTGCCAGTGCGAGTGTCACGTCAACACGAACGACCAGATGTTCATGGCAAGGAAGAAGCACTGCACGCCCTGCAGCATGAGGGTGAGACTACGAGCGACGTTCCACGTTAACTCATCTGCTCATCCTTCGCTCAGAGGCGAGCGGGACTGTGTCTGCATCCAATAATGCGGTGGCAGAACGCGGCGAGTCTCGATAACGCATCGGTTTTTAACGATCGATTGAATTTCTTCTTCTTTTTTTTGGCAGTTTATCGATGGGAACATGTACGTCAGGTTTCCCGGGTCAAAGGGACTCCAGCTCGCAAAGATCGTCTTTCACCCCGACAGAGCGACTGTCGGTGCCGCCGCCGCCGATCATCAGCACAAGATGCCATCGTCGAGTGCCGCAGCTGAGAGGTCACACTCAGGTCATCGGTCAGTCGACGTGAGCGAGAAGTCGCAGGTCACTGCAGACCACAAGCCCGTCGCGAGACCCGTGGAGGCAAGAGCGCCGGTTAGCGAGAAGACGGCCACAAAGCCTTCGAGTTTGGCGGGACAGTCAGTAGTGAAGCAGGCTCGGCAGCCGGCTGCCTCGACGGCGCAGGTTGCGCCACCGTACCTCGGCGGCGGCGGTCGCCGCGCGACGAGCGACGGTCGCCGCGAGATACAGATCTGCGACGTCGACATCGAACTCGTCGGCGACTCACCAGAGGGCGCTGGGAAGAGCTCGTCGGAGCGGGCAGCGGAGGCGGCGACCTTTGGCGCCGTATCTGGGCATGCAGGTGACCTTCCGGCTCACATATTCAGCACCGACTCGATGGAGTCAATGGCCGCCTGCGTCGATCACTCGGCGACGGCACTCACCGTGCCACCTGTCATGCTGAAGGTGGCCGACGGTGAGCCAGGTGGCAGCACCATCAGTTCTAAGGCTTTCGATCTGTGTACTGGCACAAAAGAACAGAACAGTGAGCAGCTGGATGTTGCCTTGTTTGTCGTGGAGATGTCATCACCGCGTTCAGCATCGCAGGGAAGCGCAGCAGTGGAGACCTCTAGTGTTCGCCCTTCAATGTCAGCAAAGAATATCACAAGGGCTGAATGTGGCTCCCGTATTGTTGTCTGGACGAGGTAGTTTTTATGTAGTTTTACAGTTAGTTCGTTTATTACAGCTTGTGTTGTGACGTGGCATGATAAAACTTACGTGTTAACGTCCCCTGTCTTGTTCTCTGAGCAATGAAATACATTTAATATTACCTCCCGTGTCGTGGTCTGTACGTTATATCTTTATCTCTAATTTTGTGATATATACAAAGCAATTAATGTCTTGACTCATGTATTATTATCTCTAGAAGTGTGGACTTAGTATTACGTGGTATGTGTTTAACGTTTATTGTAGCTCTAAAGCATTAGTATGGACCTAAAAATTCACTAATGATGCACTGAGTAAAATCATGTCATGGGTGTTGGGGTATAGTACATCCAAGATGTGGATAGTTTCACCACAGATGCAGTGAAACTCATTTGAAGTGATTTGCAACTCATTGTAAATGGTGCTATTTCAGGGACGATGATCGCTATGTACTACAGATGTGTCAGAAGCTGGAACCAAGTGAAGAGACCTTCGTGAAGATAGCTGAAAATCTGCCGGATAAAACCGCAAAGGATGTGAGTGTGAGGCATGAGGATTCGGTTCTTAGCTGGAACACTTGCTGCCCCCCCCCCCACACAGCCCCGAATGTCTCCAGACTACATCTACATGTCCTAAATCTGTCATCTGTAGACTGTCTAGTGATTTACAAACTGTGTCTTGATTTACTCGACTACAGATGAAGGTGATGCATGTCGACATGACTGGACCACGTCCAGGCTTCTCGGAGTATTGTTTAGAAATCTCTCGACACTTGCTTGTGGACACCTGCGTGCTGCATCTAGGCGTGTTTTGTTTGTGAAATTGTTTAGCTTAGGGCAGTGGTTTTCTTTCTTTCGCAGGTCGAAGGCAGATTTAAGGAATTGCTGTGTTTACTCTGTGAAGCTGAGTCGTCTGCCACGCAGAGCGAGGGAGATGGCAGCGACGAAGACTGCTAACTATCTTGCACCGTAACTGTGCTTTGAGATGAAAACAAAGTACAAGCCGACCTGGTGGGAGGGAAAGATTGCAAAGCTGTATTCGATTGTAAATATATTAATATTAGAGTAATTAATAAAATATTACCTGTAACATCAAATTGTTTGTTATACATGAATGTATAAAGGGTATGGTGGTATGTTATTGTTATGTAGCTCAACATATAAGTAGTCATAATATAAGTCATGTAATCTAATTATGCTAATCACCTTATGCTATGCTATGTTATATGGTGTTGTGCTATTAAAGCCATTTACCAAAGCTTTTGTATATATGATATTAATTATTACTTTTTTATGTGAATACAAATCTTCTGTGGTTTATACCAGTAATTCATTCAGTGTAATATAAGCATCAGTGTCATCCAAGCAAGTAATAATGGTCAATAAACATGATTGAATTTGTTCTGAGTAAGCATCTCCTAAGCATTTTAGTTTTGCTTTCGTTACTGTGTAGATGGGTGCGTATTAATTTGTTTTGCTTAATTTGCTTTTTGGGTGCGTAAACGCGTACAGTAAGAGGAAGGCCATCCTTTCAAGTACTTAGGTTGTTAACCGTGTTAAATATTCCAAACTGGCCTTCTCAATTTCTCAAGTCTTCCTTTCTCTTTCCCTATGTCTTCTTGTGTCGGTATATTAGGGTTCTTTCATGTTCCACGAAACGTTGACTGCTCAAAGTGCTCGAAAGTATACGTAAAAGGTTTAGTGTTCTCATTCCATCCGACCCGTCTTACTAATCTTGAAAAATCTTATTTAAGGTAAATGCGGAATGTAAACATTTAAATTTATTTGCCCAGCATTGTATTATTTGGAACGTCAGTAAGTCACGTCTTCTGCATGATTAATCTGTGTCGACAGTCTGTGCGCGTCGAACAACGTTCGTGGCTCGTGGTGTCACTCCTAAGCCACGTTTTTCAAATCGTATTTTTGATGTCTCATGGCGTTTGTAATGGATGCGAACTAGTAGAGGTTGAATAGCGCGGTGTTGAACATGCTACACATATTTAGGTTAAACCATAGACTTATAACTTCAGCGTCATTTTTCGCCTTTGGTTAAGCTCACTATAGTTTAGTACCATCGCTAAATGACGAGCAAACGTTTTACGACTGTGGGTCGTTTTGTTAAACCTTAAAAACGCATACATTGTAAACGTAATATACGAAGGTAATTTTAGAGAGAAGTTAGCATTGAACAAGTATTATGATTTATGTGCATATTTATATATTCTATTGAATCACAAATCCGGCCAATGACCTAGATTATTTCTAAGGCAAATTTATATAAGCAGGTGAACCGTGTAAGAAACGTATATTTGTTGTGCTCTAAATAGCATACGTTCAGATAACGTTTGGCTCTTTTATTCTCTCTCCAACTTGTTCAACTTGTTTCCTCGATCTCCATCCATCCTCTCATCCACTCTCCTATCGCCCTCGCCCCCTCTCTCTCTCTCCACATTTCTCGCTCTCTCTCTCTCTCTTTTTCTTTCTCTTCTATGTCTTTCTATATCTTTATATAGTCTTTATCTTTATATCTTTCCTTTATATCTTTATATCTTTCTATGTCTTTCTATATCTCTCTACACCCCTTCATTTCTCACTTATACGCTTGCTCTCCCCCGCCCTGTCATCGTCTGTCTCCCTAATGTGCTAATTCATATGAGGATGCAGGGCATTATGATGTCTAAATCGGGTATATAAATTTTATACAGTTTGTATCTATTTATTATAAGAATGCCTTATCAACATATCCCATAGTTTTGACTACTTTTTTAACATAGAGAATCAGCAACCTTGGTTCCTTGTAAACAATTAATGGCTGTCAACTGCATTACCGTTATAGTTCGTTAATTTGGTATACCCTAGTTCAGAACAATGAAACTGCTATTGAGGAGTTTCTAATCTACTTAGATACGATATAAACATCCTTTAATCAACGTACGATTACGTATAGCCACATGTCCGTATACATTGATCTCAGGTATAGAGTCCTGGCATTACAAACAAATTCCGCATCGTAACATAACGCTTTTGCCTCAAGAAGAAAATTCGAAACAAAAACCTATCGACATTTTAGGTAGGCTTGGTGAGGGAGGCCGCGGACGCGGAAGTTAAGGTGGGTGGATGACTGCAAACATTACAGCTAGTTGTGTTTCGCCGTCAACTAGTTAAAGGGTGCTTCACTATACTGCTTTTTACATCAAAGTATCATGCACGCGTTGTGTCGCCCTAGACATACCAACGACTGGTCAGTAGACGCAAACGTCCCAATTGTCTAGTGAATATATTAGGCACCAATTGTATCAATCGTATTGGTATCCAGGCCAGCGGTTTGGGGTTGCATTGCTTAAACGTGTACAAGGCGAAGTAGTCGACAGATGTCCATACGATGCTCGGGTTCGAGGCGGGCAAGCCCAGCACGATGTCCTTCTTTCTTACCTGTCCGATGGGATCCCTAAAGCAAGACGCACGATATCAGTAAACATCTCTGACCAGACCGCCATCAGGCTGTGGCGTTGCTACAATATATATATATATATATATATATATATATATATATATATATGCGTTCGTGCGTGCGTGTGTACGTACGTACGTACGTGCGTGCGTGCATGCGATGCAATGATCCATCGAGTGAAGTACAGTAAAAACCCGCATATAAGAACCTAGTGATTAAAAACCTGTTAGGCTAAGATTTTCTATTTAGGCCCCCTTGACATAAGAACCTGGTTTAGCCTAAAATTTTAAACAGGTTCTTATTTGATAAAATTCTGTTAACACTTACAAATTCATAAATCAACTAAAACAAGCTCTGACAAATCAAGCAAAGAAAATAAACCAAATCCCTTACAATTTCACTTCAGATATAGATACTGTATAAGTTAATATACATATAAATTAACATTATATAAATATAAATATATATAAATCATAAATGCATATAATATATACATAATTATATGCATATATTATATAAACAATGGACCGCACCAATATTCTACCCGTAACAAGCACCTTTTTTTTCTTAAGAAAATAAGAACCTGTTTAAGAACCTAAATAGCCTAATTTACCAGTAAACTCCAATTATATAAGGACCTTTTTAGGCTAACTTGGAAAAATGCAGGTTCTTATACGCGGGTTTTTAAATGTGAAGTATGTCGTGAAGTATGAAAAATCTTACGTGGATCCGGGCTTGAAGTCGAGATAAGCGACGAAGTTAGAGGCACTGGGAAGTGAGCCATCCGAGATTCCCGCAATGAAGTACACAGCTGCAAGGAAAATTGTATCGTGCAATAAACACTGTCTATACGCAGCTAATCCGCTACACTACTATTGCCCAATGGGATGCCAAACTATTGCCAGTACTCATTATGTAGTAAAATCATGAAAAATGCATCGTTTCTATAATATTTGACAATCTATAAATTAAAAAATGAAAATGAAAAGGCCTTATGCAAAGGAAATTATTTCAGCTGCGTAAGCATGCGCAATCGACCACTTCTGTACCTGGATACTTGAAGTCTACTTGCAGATCTCGCACGGAGATATGTGTGAGGTTGAGAAGGTTGACGTTACCGCTGCTGACTCCATCTCCGATCAGACGGTTTACACCTACAAAACCGCGTCGTTTAGCAAATTATCGTAGTTGTTGAAGATCGGGAGATATAGAGAATGTGTTGATGACAGTCAGAGTCGAGTGGCGAAATACTCGATGGAATTATCAGTGATGCGGCGTACTATCACTGTGAATGTAAATGATGACGGTAGGAGTAGTGATACAGAAATTAATATATTTATACAGGAGTATATCAATATTGATAGACTCCTGATATATATATATATATATATATATATATATATATATATATATATTAGTTATTAAGTAGTTCACGTACTATATACAGACTACTACGAGCTATAGAATATATCACATATATATATATATATATATATATATATATTA